GATAGTCTAATTTTAAAGTTGTTATTTTTCTTGTTTAGGTATCTAGTGGAAAAGAATTATTAGCATTTTTATTTAACGATTTTCTTTTATTTTCAACTATAAAAACATCATCAAATAATTGACAATCACAATTATTTGAGCCGAAATCAAATTTACAATTAAAACTTTATCGATTAGTAAATTCAATTCATTTAAATTTCTATATTAATCAATTTGTTCTTTATTTTTTAGCCATTATTATTAACTGATATTGTTATTGCTAATGAAATACTTAATGATCAGTTAAGTTTTTTTTATTACAACGAAATTTTATGAAAAACCATTAATTTTAAAAACACAACAAACTAATATTCGGTATGATAGCAAGAGCATAATATAAAACAACTAAATGTAGAGATCATATACTTTTTGTTGTTTTGTTTTCTATAGTACATTATGGGTACGAGCAATTAATAATGCTTTAGAAGAATATCAAACAACAGAAAAATTAATTCTAACCGATAAAGCATTGTTTTCTATTACAGGTAAAACTAATTTATAATTTATAGATGATTTAAATATAAACTTTAACTATCGTTTTCTTGTAATTTTTGAAGATCACAAACATGATTCAAAATCTGCTGTTGAAGATCTTATTCTCGTTGTACTAGAAGCTCGTGATTTCTTGAACGACATCCTAAGTATTGTTCCTAATCATTGAAAAAAATAGTACTTGATTGTTATATCTTTAAATATTGTTTTTTGTCTGTAGGTTTTTTAAAATCCCTCTTGTGAGATAAGTATCAGTTCATTAACATTAAAAACTCCATTTATAAAACGGACAAATAATCCAAAATGGAATACATCTATGCATTTTTTTCTATATGATATTGCTAAAGATATTATTCATATAAATATATTTGATAATGAATTTCTTTCACCGAATGGTTTGTTCGAAATCTTTTTCTTTTTCATGAAGAGAGAAAACCATTCCTTTTGTTTTGTTTTGTTTTTTAGAAAATATTGGTTATACATCAATACATCTGATAGATATCTTGCCATGTTCACTTGATGCATTTCTTACTCAACCATCACAACCATTTAAACAAACAATCTATCTAAACAATGGAGCATCAGTAGTCATAAAATGTACTATACAGTTTTTATTAAAATATCAACAGAAATCATTCTTGTCATTTTTAGACTGTTATCTTTTTTTCTTTTGTATGTCTTACTTATTTGTGAAAATTGAATTTTTCTATTTGTACGTATATGTGTTTATTGTCAGTGTGCTTTCTTAGAACAGTGATTTCTTTCTTATTCGCTCAAACATGCAGTCTTATCATATTTTTCACTTAAATTACTCAGATAATCGATGCACTAATTAATCTAAACGTTCCCAAAACTCACAATCCTGTTAGCCACAAAAATAATACACTAACATATTCAATACATACATGATTCCTACTTAGCCTGATACAATTTTTAGTATTTCTTTTTTTTCCATCATCTTTCTACATTGTTATCTGTGATTCTGTATAATTCAGTCTTCCTTTCCGACCTCATATTATTCAGGATTCATCATAACAACACAACCAACGATATTTTCATAAATAAAAAAAAAACAACAAGCGTTTCACAGCCAGATTTCTCACTATATATCGAAAAGAAATTGTCCGTAATACATTGATCTTCAATACGAGATCAATCTCAATTCATTCTTATATTAAAATCAACAATATTACACTATACTTCTAATCAATGTACACTTTTATTAATGCATCCAACACACTTCTATCATCAATTTTTCGCACATTAACATGCACCTCCCCTTTTTTATCCTATAGAAAATGTTCCTCTGGCCGACTGATGTTGCAATCAACCCACACAATTTCGTCATTGCAACACGTATTTAATCAGAATTGATCATTTACCTCATGATAAGTTGTGATAAGCAACTTTTTGATAAGGTGTATAAATCAAAATATCTAGTTTGTCTTTACATTTTGCAGTTCTATTGTTGTATTTGATTGCTTGCTATATGCAGACACAGTATAGATGTCGGTATCAAAAATGAGCAAACGAGCATCACCGAAAGAACCATGTGAAAAGTCAGCATTGTAATAGAAAATATGATGTTATTCAAGAGGATGCGAAAAAAATTATTCCATTAGCTGCATCTCGACGTTTAGATGATCCAGTTTACGATGAAGATGATGATTTCGATCCGTCATACACAATAATAAAAACTAATCAAACTTCGAAAGATTTTCGTTCAGATACGAAATTAATAGTTTATCATAAAAATTGTCCATTATGGGTGCGGGTGCTATAGTTGAACCTGCTAGTCGACTAGGATATATACAAGAATATAGATTATCAGTTTATTCACTCTATGCTGCTGTATCTGTTGGTTCACAAACTAATGATATTATTGAAACTTTACAAAAACTTAGTAGTACAGCAATATCTAATATGATCATTGAATTTATTAATTTATGTACATTAAATTATGGAAAAGCAACTTAGTATTAAAACATAATCAATATTTTGTTGAAAGTGCTTGTCATAATATTTTAAAAAATCTTCTACATGATTCACAAATTCAAGAATGTCGATTAATAACAAGAAAGATTAATATTGATATAAATTCAAATGTATCTGTTCAACAATGAAAACAACAATTATTTAC